AATATCTACTTCCTCAGCTGGGTAAGATGGTGTTATTTTAAACGTTAAATGAGGAAGTCTACTTGTAAAAACAATTATTACAAACAATGTCCACCTTTTAAATGGTCGGTTACTTTCAGAAAAAGCTTGGTCCCATGACAACTTTATCAAACGTAGTGTTCAGTATGATACTCACGCTAAACCCAACGTGGTTTTGTTTTCGACACTTCCTCCTTATTGTTCACTGCAATGACTACCCTCCATCAATTAAACTAAGAAAGCGTGACGGCACATTTTCGTGAAGGAAATCACCACATGTCTAATAAAAGAAAAGAGGGAAAAGTCTGATAGATCAGGAGATTTTTAGTCTGAATGGAGAGATACATTTATGTCGCCAAATGGGGAGACTCCCAACAATATCGTGTGTTTCAATTGTTCAGAATAAACTCGAGTTGTCTCTGCACTCTCACGACCTCAACCCCCCAGATTTTGATGTGTGGGGGTATCTGAAGGATCTAGTCAACATAAACAACCCTCACGCCATCCCAGAGCTGCATGCACTCAAGAAATCAGAGCTGTACCTAGAGAAGAATGCATCAATGTCGTCGACAATTTTGCCCATAGAATTCAGTGTGTCAACAATATTTGGAGCATATTCTATAAATGACAACATCTTTGCCAGTAGAGCACGTGACACGTTATTTGTATTAGTAGATTTGTTAAACTTCTGCAGGTTTCATATATATATAAACTGTGTATAATTTGTAGACAGAAAATAAACGGCGTTCACGTTACATTTATACTCGGACACCATGTATTTCAAGTTGTATCAACCGAATATATCATTATTGATTTAATCAAGGAGTTATAACAGAATAAATGTTATAACTCCTTGATTTAATAGATGTCATCTTTAAAGTTCATCTTTGTAAATTACTATAGTTGCAACATACGGTAGTTATATAAGTAAAAGAAATAAAAGTAAAAGAAATAAATCTGTACAGGTTTTTTTAGAGACAAAAACATTATTTCAGTTATAAGCAGACATAGTTAGGGATGATTAAATTACACACAAATATATAAACCAGAACGTGTGTCGGAGATTGTTATTGTGTTTGTGTGTGTGTGTGGGGGGGGGGGGGGGGGGGGCTGATGATCAA